GTATATTATGTTATTCAATCAATTAATTTTTTTTTTACCAAATATTGCTTGGATATATTATACCTATACGTAATTATACAAACACGTATCCTATAATATATGTCATGTTTCTGTTATACTAGGATAGTTTTTTATTTGCTATGGTATATATAATTTTTAAATTGGTTAAAAAAAATARTTAAAAATATTCATCATGTACCTATTCATTCAATTAATATTCTTTAGAGTCTTAAAAGTTAAACTGTTCACTATTAAAAMAAAAAAACTGATWTSATACAGATGTAAGGTGTTGGTAGGTACTTTATATACTTTTTTGGAACGACGGTTAAGCGCAGTTAATTTTRAACGATATTTAAAACTTTGCTCGATTGCATTTGTTCRGAMATGATAATCTACGACTGAYGGTTGCTTTTTTTATTATTTTAAGAAAATCTAAAAACCTGTTTAAATAAATCTTCATCAGATTCAATATTTTAAAATCAAAACATAATAAATTCGTATTTACCTATATACCACATAGGTATATTATACATATTATTATTATAATTTTCAGAATGCTCGTGCACAGTTAAACCTATGCAATCGCTATGGTAAACCGACAATAATGCACACGGACGTTAAATTATCATAGAACATCAATTGGTTATTGTAACATACGTCATGTTCGTAACGTCCAACGATAATACCTACGTATCATGTAACGATTAACTCACCCATGAGCAGGAGGAACACGTACGGCAGAATCCTCATGGTTCTGACTGTCTAGTCTGTCGCTTCCGGAATCGCACTCCACAACGAATATCACGGACTTATCTACAGCAAAAATAAATCACGAAACAATAACAACAACGACGGAAATCTCAACGAATACTGGAGACGAAAAATACAAATTGTCGAACGGATGTCATGAAAGCGGCGACGATTAGCATTCGATCGGTAACGGTTCCCTCCGATGATAACGAGCCATTCGGACGCGGCACATCACTGACCCACACACGCACACACGCGGTCGCGTAAAAATACGGAGGAGATCCGTCGGGATTCAAAGTTGGCGTTCGACAGCCGAAGACCGGCTCTCGGGTCAGTGCAGTCGGTTCCAAGCGGTAATTATTACCGTACGCTGCGGCGGTGGCAATAATATGGCACAGAACGYCGTCTTCCTTTCACCGCCGCCGTACCGTGTATACCTACATATTATTATTATTATTATTATTACATATACTAAAAGACGCAGGTGGGTTTGGTTTATGTAGCTATTATAACGAGTCTTATTATTTTGTTATCGGTGAGTAGCGAAGGGTAGATACCTTTGTTCATTGTTTAGGCTTAAAGTGTTGATTTTAAATAATTTGTGTTCTGATGCCGTAACCCTCCTCAACAGATATCGATAATATCGGATAATATTATTCAGGATATGAAAAAAAWAAAWAAATATTTTAATTGCCTACTTATTGAATTTGAGATTAAACCTCTTTTATATACACCTTGTCTAGACATTTTACGTTTTAATTCATTGTAAATATAAAGTAAAATAAAGTTATTACACAAAAAAATAGTCCTGTGGGTAAGGYCTTACCGTTAAACACATCCTTTTACACTGCCGCAACTACGCCTATTATTATTATAAGGCAGACCATTTTTAAACATTCTGGATCATCTAATTGAAGTACTTGGACCCGTCTTGAAAACTACAGCAACATTATAACATTTCTACAAAGAACTAAACTTTACAACCTTACATAATGAATCAATGTATCTTTGTTAATTTTAATGTTAGCCATTAACCTTAGTTTTTGAAGCTTAAATAAAAAAAAAGTTAAACTATAGTGATACTTTGGTGGCATAATAGGTCATATTTTTTATTTTTATATAATAAGTTTTAAAATCAACAATAAAAAAACATTTAAAAGCTGTTTAAGCAATTTATTTACTTGCAGGAATATTTGAAAAATAGTTATAACATTTTTCTGGTAAAATAAAAAAAAACACTAAAATATACTTAACAACATTTGTATTTCTTTAAATTTTGTTCAAATAAATATTTTTACTACCCCARAACGTGTCATTCTCGGGCATATCGCGTGTATTAGT